AGCTTGAAATCCTATATGCATGAAATTAGCTCTAATCAAATGTTCAGAGCATCGTATCACAACAGAAGTAGAACTAAAGAAGCTTTATTAAATTTTTAAATACCAATTTTGTAAAGAACATCCTAACCATTTTTTAAATTAAGTAACACCGAAAGGCCAAATTATGTTAATATTTGCTTTCAGTGCGGCGAGTCTTGCAGTTGGGAAAAAATTCAGCAAGGAAGAAGAAATCGATGTAAGTAAATATCGGACGTTAATCAATCATGGCAAACTGGCAAATATGCTTGTAAGTTAGTCTTTTTTAAATGTTTTAGGAATCTTAAGCTTTAAATTTGATGACATAACGATTATAGATTAACAAGTTTACACAGTGCGTTTTATTTATGAATCGTTCCCTCTTACATCTGCTATATTCATAGAATGATCCCTTCAAGCTCCGTACCGGTGGAATGATTAATCTCAAAGAGATTAAAGACAGAAATCGGGACAGGTAAGCCGTAGCAGAGACCGTTTAAAGGATAGATGGAGAGACTGACCAACAGTGGCCGTCCAGACTGTCTGTCTTGGTTCATTACACATGCACCTTCTGCATGTGTATACCATCACTACCATTACAGAGGGTTGTGGTGTCACCATGCAAGGCTAACTCTGAGTACGCGTGGTTCTGAATTGAACTGGAGATACCTGAAGGAACCATAAAATTGAACTGGAGAGAACCACACATACTCAGAAAGAGATATCCTTGCATGGTTCTACCGCAAACCTCTACAATTTGCTTGCTAACTTCACTGTCATGAAAAGCTTCAAAGCTTGCATGTACTTCAAACCACCCCCCCGAGAAAAAAGAAACCCATGCAATCATAACCCCCCCCCAGGAAAAAAAACTAAAACACCAACAACAAAAACAAGAATGGCAGAGTAAGTAGTACAGAAACAAGTAAATTTATTTCCCGCGTACAGAAACAATGTCGGCAGCATTCATAACAGATCAGTTTATTTCCTTGGTTATTGTCTCCTTTGCCATCGTCACAGTGTCTTTGAATATTTGCCTTAAATTGTGGAAAATTTCAACATAATTGTGGATTGCTTTGACTCTGACATCTGGATTGGTCTTCACACTGCATCTCGCAGATCAGATGAAGATTCCCGAGATGTTCTAAACATGGAGACTACCTTTGCAGCAGAGACCAACAGGAGAGATGAAGATGCCGAAATGTGAGTTACGCCAACTTCCAGTCTGATTTGATTTAATCAAGCTGTTGACAGACACAGGAATGCATGAAATGCAAGTGTAGGCCTCTCTTTCAGTGTTTCGTTGTCATGTTTTTTGCCTACCAGTGGCAAGTAAGCTATAGGGCTGTGCCGAATATCCGAATATTTGATTGATAATCGAATATTTGAATATTAATTTTTCGAATTTGAATATTCAAATGCAGAATTCGTGAAAAGGAAGGGAGAGTTTTCTTTTGTTTTAAATGAGAAAAATTGCACTATGGAGGTTTGCTTCAAGCAGATTCAAATGAAAAGCCACAGAAATGTTACAACGATTCAAAAAGTCAATTATTCATTAAAAAATTTAAAAGGAATAGAAATTTTCAACAGGACAAGAAGTATTATTTGTCTCTTAAATCTTGCTAAATCGTGGCTGGAGATACTCCTAGATGTGAGAAGCTAGTGTATTGATTATAATGTACAATTGTGTGTGTTAGTGCAACTTATTTTGTACATGGTTTGTTCCTCAACAATCTGCTGGTTGGTACGATCAAATATTCAGATATTCAATCGTATTGAAGGTTGATTATTTGAATAGTGAATTATTCAAATTGACTCAGCCCTAGTAAGCCAGTCAATACAAAAAACGGAAGAATAATTCCCAAAGTCATGAAAGTGTTAAAAGGATGCACACCCCTATTGAAATGCCAAATTATAAACACTACTAATTACTAAAATGGAAATATGACTCCCTATTTCAGCAGTGGGACCAATGTACATTTTGAGGCCAAATCTGAGACCAGTTAACGGAGATATTTCTGCAAACTTTTGCCACTCCTACGAATTATAGGTGTACATGAAAGTCGTCAATACAGAAATATAGAATCAAGTGTTCTGGCAAAGGCTTTTTTCATCCCCCTGTGGGAAACCGTATCAATTCCGGCAGCTGCGGAGTCAAGTAATTGCATTTTACAAAGCAAGCTCTTAATTCCGGGGTACAGGATGAAGTACATTGAAAATGAGCTGGCCAAGAAGAAAGGCAGAGGCAGCGGCGAGACGGAGGGGAAAAAGAAGGAGGAAAAGTAAGGGGTTGATTTTCTTCTCACTCAATATTTTTAACTTTACATCTGCGGTTCAATTTATACAACAGAAATCTCACCAAAGTCTTGTTGTAAATCTGAAGTGTTCTGGGCTGCAGTTTTTCTCGCATCAAAAAGTATTTTTCTTTCTCCTTTTTATACATATCTGGTGTTTGATCATATCGCCAAGGTTATCTGTGTCCTATTTCAACAAGTTGAGGGCTTTAATGCATTTGTTTTTGTACCATACGCTATCAAGTCTTCAGCATTTTCAGTTGCAAAAGGGGTGCAAACGAGAGAACAGTGTTTTTTGTTCGGGATATAACTTTGATTCTGAAAGGAAGAATTTGTCCTCTTAGACTGAAGACTGCCGAGGATAAGTTGTACGAGCTGCCGGACCACCTGAAAGTTGAATCCAAGAAGAAATCGGAGGAGATGCTCTCGAACCAGATGCTCTCCGGTATCCCGGAGGTTGACTTGGGCATTGAGTGAGTTGCAGTCGATTAGAAACCTTTTAAGACGTAATTTATCGATTGTAGTTCATAGTCCTGTTAAAAGGCAGCTCTTAATCCGATGGTGTTGGTGTCATGGCACCGTGGGAGGGAGGGAGTCTTGAGAAACAGTGACGACGGCAAATTGAAGGAAGTTGTCTGCTGGGAGTGTTGAGAACTTAATTCAACTTCAGTTGTAGAAAATGCTGGAGAGAACCTAAACAGAGCTATTGACATCATGTTTGTTTAAACCCTTTCCTTCGCTGTGTGATTGTCGTGGTTTTTGCCAACCATTGATTGGCAAAATAATGAACAAAGTCTTAAATCATCTCAGGCATCTTTCAAAAGTCTAACAACGAGTATTGTTTAGACTTTTCAAAGAAATTAAAAATATGTAAAAATGCCTTTCTCTTTAGCTCTAATGGAGACAAATTTGAAGTTCGTGGCCAGAGTTGTTGCCAATCAAGGTCGGACTTCTCGCAACTGTGGCTGCTCGTATAAAACAGCGATGAATGGTTTTTAACAAGAGAAAGATCAAAGCGCATCATGATCGAATGAACAGTGCCCTCTGTCATCAAAGGATGTCCAGCTGACTCCAACACCCCCCTCCCTTGTCAATTGAATGTTTGAAACTGATATGACCAGCAACACCCGCCACCTCCTTTGAAAACTCCTTGTCACTCTGCCGTCAGACTGTGCCCCACGAATGGGGATGCTGACGTTTCTGCGTACTCCCCTGTTGAATTTTGTAGTGCCAAGATAGCCAACATCGAAGCCACGGAAGACGCCAAGCAGAAACACATAGCGGAGCGGCGGAACAAGAAGAAAGACGTGACCTCCTTCGCTCCCACCAACATGGCCGTCAACTACGTCCAGCATGCCAGATGTAAGAAATAACCTCCGAAGTTGGGTTGAAAGTGTCGGCCATTTTGAGTAATGGCAGACTGGTTCCATTTTGGTGTCACTGAAGTTTGACTTTGGTCGTTGTATGGGTGCAGAAGCTGTTTGACAGCTAAATTTGAAGGCTGCCCTTTATCCTGAGTATGAGTCAGGCTAACGCAACATACACTTAGAATCTTCAGCTCTAGAACAGCCTGGAGTCATTTTGCCATCCTCACTCATTCCCAAAAAGACATTGACGATGGTCTTCCTCCAACTTTAATGCAAGAGTTTGCCCTGCATCATGCCCCCAGCAGCATTGTCTTTAGTCGGGAGAAGCCAAAAATGATGTAAATTTCATATCGGATTCAGTTTACCCAATGTAAAGTTAACGTTTAGTTAGTGTCAGTCCATCACATGTAGCTTTCCAAGATCTGCAATGATATTTATTTTTAAAAAATACTGTAAAAGGATCAGAAGTATTGGCACAGTGGATGTACCCCTCTTTTTCTAGACATGCATGAGGAGTTGAATCCACCCAAGCAGAGGATATCCAAGGTCGAGGAGCCCAAACCAAGGCCAGTCGTCGTCGGGGATGCAGACGGACCTGCGAAACGTAAGCTGCCAAATCTGTATTGAAAATTGGATACTTGTTTTGATCTGCTGTTCACAGTCATTAGCCGATGCAGCACGGAGGACAGGTGTTTCAGTCAAGTCGATCGCAAATTGATTTCAAGTTGTCCGCTGTCAAATTAGTTCACTTTTCTGTCATCCGTCCAGTTAGTAAGAGAATCTGAACAGTCAATTCTTAACAATTTGATTTTCTTGTATTCCTCCAAGCAGTAGCCCAGTCACCGCCAAGACGACCAAAACGCAGCAACCAGGAGAAGGCCACAGACGATTATCACTACGAACGCTTCAAGAAGCAACTCCGGCGATACTGAAGGTGAACGTTGTGTTGGTCATTTTGATCATTTGATCTGTCTGTCTGTTGTCATGTGATTCCGACCGGATCATGCCGTCACGGTCACGTCTGTGCATTTGGCAGTGGCAAGGCTGCACTTACATGTATAGCGCCCTCTGTCAACATGTTTCAACTCGGATAGCCTGTTAGTTCAGTGAATCGATCACTACCTGCCTCGCGCTGGCACAACCACAGAGCATCTGACCAAGGAAGTAAAGCAATTTTGAAATTTGTCGTCATTTTAAAGGTTCGTTTGAGTCATTCTAGCACTCCAGTTTAGCAACTGTGTTCAACATTTAACCAGTGAAACTTTGGTGAATTCCACATCTCTGTGGCAAATACTTGGCCAAGGAGCTGCTTTTATGCCGTACGCTTGATCTCCTATGGGTCGTTAATGTCCTGGATATAACAAGCTGGATTCTTGCCTGAAGGATATACTGTCATCAAAGGCAACTCCACCGCGCCGAGGGCTAGACCCCTGGGCGTGTCTTCACGGAAGCCTCTGTCCAGCATTTCACCTGTCATGTGCAAAGCAGACTGTGAAATGACTTTTGAGATTGGAGACACTTATTTATCTGAGAGGAGTGAGATCTTAATGTATGTAAAGGCACGGGCGTAAATCCCGGGGGTGGGGGGGACAGGGACAGGGTGAGCACAAAATTTAAAGCGAATTTTGAACAATTTTCAGGATATCCCACTGACTAAAATGTTTGCAATATCACCAAAAAGGGAAAGCAGTTTGAAAAAAGCCATAAATATGTCTTCCTAATGTAAGATTCTGCATGAATCTGATACACGTTAGAGACGTACATCTTTATCATGTACATCGCCTCTAAATGGTGTATATGGTGCCACCCCCCCTCACTTTTCAAATTTCCATGGCTGGGCAAAACGTCCCCTTCACCTTCCCCCAACCCCCCCCCTTGCCACTGTCATGCCAGTGTGTAAAGGGGTCAGGTCCCAGACCTGCTTACATAAGATACATGAACGCAGTGTGTATGTAACAGTGTCTCCAATTACGTAGCATCTTTGATTTATTTCGGTCCTTTTTTCATGTTATTTTAGGAGGTCTGTTGTTAGGGAATGATGGTGATTAGCTGGGAAAGGCAAAACTGACTATATTATGAGTACTTTATACCTACAGTATTTATGGAAGCTTAGATACACTTGTCATTTCACATGGCACAATTTCAAAAGCCCTCTGTCTGGCACCAGCCTCATATCGCAGGTGTTTCTTACTCTGCGTACTCCATTCCAAGCAATTTGTAAATTGTACAGAGTTTGAAACTGCCAGTGGCTGTCATGAAATCTACTCCATGCCCCCTCTATTCCGTTCTGCTCCCAAGTTTACATAGTCTAGGCAAAACTAAACGCCAACAAAGCGAACTTTGTTTAACCGGGTAACGACTTAATACGAGTGCTTGTGAGTTTGTTTCTGCATTCAATTGGGGACCCTGAACAATAGAGGACAATAAGGTCCCTTATTGACAGAGGGTCCCCGATTGGCGACTGTGTACAAAACATACGGGTGGTCTTCTAAAAAAGTTAAAGTACGAACAATAGAGGAACAATAGGGGGTCCCCAGTTGCAGGCAAATACACACTTGTGTGCGTGTGTCTAGCTCGGAGGGCCTGTTCTTGTTATCTTCAGGTATAAATGTTTCTCGGTCTTCACCCACTTTTGAATGAATTACCTGCAGTGGCAAGTCAGGCAGAGAGCCGCCCAACAGCCTTGACTTTTGAGTTTCATGCCAATTAGAGATCTCTCCCTGAAGGGTGCCGAGTGCTGAATGCGTTTATCGTAAAGACGCCTTTTCAGGCTGAAGCCAATTGTGGCCACAGCGGAGCGAGACTCGGCATCAGAACCCATGCCAAACGGTGCAGAAGATTGCAGTGAGACGTCAATTAGCGTGGCTACAAAAGACTCACGAATGCCCTGCCCTTTTCGACACCAGTCCAGCTACGTGCCATCCTACGTTTGCAATAATTGGAGCGTCGACCCAATCGTCAACATCAAAGCCTTACTGCCGGCAGGAGAAGTGAACCAAGAACATTAGTTCCACGGCACTAGCCAACTTTTTTGGTTGATTAAATTTTAAGTGTTATAATTTTGGAAACTATGTCAGTATATGGTGAGACCTTTGTCCAAAGTGTGGTGCCCTCACATTACGCCTTATTTGTTCAGGTTCACTGTGAAGCTACGAAACCTGTATTTCTTCGTGGAAAGTAGTTCAAAGGGAAATAAAATTTTAGGACGACTAATGGCCGCTTTAATAAATCATGCTTACTTCATCTTCTCATAAAATTCTCCTTGCACAAAATATCTCATTAATTCATTTTATGTTAATTTTTCGTCGTATTACTTTTTTTAATTCAGGTGGTCTTGGCTGAGCGATTTACTGAGCTCATAAATATAGTTCCCGTACATTTGGCCTGTAACATCATGGGTTGTTTTTTGTTAACATTTGTTTCAACAGCTACAAGCTGGTGTATTTTTTCCCTTTCAATTTTTTCTCTTCACTGTGTTAAATGCTCCCTGACTTTTGAACCAAGGTTAAATTGACATGTGACACGTAGTCCAGCCGTACAGATTAGGAAAGTGGTAGGCGTTTTTAATCAGTCACTCTCATTTAACATTGTAACAAACGGTGACGCGTGTAACGTGGCGCTCTTGCATGCATCTCGTCCGAGCAGTTTATGGAAAGAGTTGCGACATGAGTGTCTGGTGGATTATGCGTCAGTGCGCATGGACAGCTAGCGCAAAATAGCTACTGCCGTATCGTACTGCACACATATAATGAACAGGCCATTCATGTTCCAGAGGTCCCACTTAGCGCTATTCTGTACATGTCCGTCTGCGGCTTTTGCTGAATCCACAGCGAGCTGTTTTCACGTGTAACGCGGTCTTAACAGAACAAAATGAAGCACGGTGATCACGCCCCGTTTCCCACTCGAGGCCCGTGTTCTCTTGCGGCCCCCTCCCCTTG